GAGTCTGTTAGAATTCCTGTTGGCATGGCTGAGTTGAGAAGGTTATAAAGGATTTTCGTTAATCGGATGTGGCTGAGGGAGTCGCAGAGATCACTTGGTTAGTTGGGATGTATGTTTCTAGTCTATAAGGATGGTGGCATTGGCATTGGGAGCTTGGTCCAAGAATTTCATAAAAGGTTGTGGTGTTTCCCTCTGGAGCCATTTTCTTCGTGGCATAGAAGAGCAAAATTGTGCTTCTATGAAATGGGTGGGATTCTAGAGTTGGTTATGGTATCACTTAAAGAAGTCATTGGGAGTCTATTACTTAGGATTAACACTAATGGTGCCCTTCAAATTCAGAGCACAATATTTTGTTCAAAAATGCTAATTTTGCGGGGTTATTTGGCTGGAATGGAACTATAAGCACCACTTTGGACTGGCTCAAGTGGTTTGGGATAGAATGGTTTGTTTGTTTTCCTTTGGGCTAAGCTCACTGTTCTTTTTCAGGATGCTTTCATCTTCTCCGCATAGGGTTTGGGTGTCTATCCTGTTCTAATGATTCTGTTTAGTTCTATTGTTTTTTGGTGTATTTTTGGAGGATTTATTATCCTCTTTTCTTTGTCCTTTTCTTTGAGAGGCTGGATTTTCTTATCCTCTAACTCTTTACTAACACCTTTTTTTAATAAGAACAGGAGATCCATGTAAAGTTGAGGAAGACTAGGTATCCTCCAGGTCTCTTGTCTTTAATTGAAGCAAATGGCAAAAAGAAGAGTGTAGCTGGGGTTTGAACAAGGGTTTCATTGAGTCATATTTGCTCTCTCCTTGGTGTCCCATCCTCCAGTTAAGACCATACTTGATCCTAAGCAATGCCAAAAGCCTGCAGCTTAAGAAGAAAGGATCATTTGGGCACTAAGCCTATATTTTTGGGACAACATATTCATGATCTCTAAGCGCCCTTTTCCTCTTGCTCATTTTGGGAAAGGAACATGGAGTCTTCAGGAATTAACGTATTATGTTCACTTCTCCCCTTTTTTCTTCATTATTTAATGGGTTCTTGGCCACTTTGTGTTTGGTCTTGTTTTTCTTGGGAGGATACCTTACCTTTTTGCCTTATATCTCTTCCTACATTGATATAATTTCTTTTCCTTAAAAGAAAAAAAAAACATTTACTCACATGGGACATTTACTTAAACATGCATTTCCTGTACATTCTTAGGAACTGGTTTGTGGACATTTTTCTTAGTTGTAATAATCTGCTTCCATCGCATAAGAAATAAAATGAAAAAATTGGCATATTGTGCCAGCATCTCTTGCTCTCTCTATATGGTCTTTCTTTTCTCAAGTTCCATTGTGATTTTATATATGAGCATGCATTTTCATTTTTTAATCTTTCTCATACTGTTTAGCTCCACTGCCCTGCAAGTTTGTTCCAATCTGTTGTTGGTATGGTGCTCTCTACGGGTTTATATAACATTCAACTGTTAGGTTTTTCACACAAGCTCTTGTTTTCCAAAGTTTGATGCTCTTGCAGTTTATTTGAAGCTCGAAAAGCTGGACAACTTTTGGATAATGGAATAAAGTACAGTCCAGATTGTGTATGGCCTATCATGACAAAAGATAAAATTGGGAATGATAAACTTCCTGGGAACATTTGGAGACCTATAGAAGCATCGGTTCAAATTCCATCAAACATATCTTGCATAAAGTGTCCTGGAAAGCACACTCGTCCAACTGATGATTGTTCTGGCATCCGCAATGCATTGTATCCTTCTTCCAATTTTAATCTTGATAAGCTTTACAAATCTATGGAATTCTTTTCTTAAGAATTATTACTTTTCCCTTTAATTGAAATTCTTAAACCCATTTCTGTATTTAGGTCTAGGAATTAATATGTTTAAATCAGTAAATGATTTTTGTCTCTTCTAATAAGAAAAGAAAGAGATTTATATCAAGACAATATGAGAAAATGAATGTTTCTGAACAACTTTATAGTGTTCTTATGTTATGCAATTTTGCTAAGGTTTTTGAAGAGATTTGAATTCTCCTTTTATAACTTGCCAGCTTTTCTTGTTATTTAATAATCAACGTAATGGAGCTTGTTGGCACAGACTTATTACTCTATCATTCTTTATGCCCATTATTTAGACATATGATACGATCTTTGTTTCTTAAATAATCGAAGAAATTTCTCTAAAAAAATTATAATAGAGGAAACAGGTTGCCTTTGTTGGAAGCAAGTATTTTTCACTTTTCACTTTTCATGTACATATATGTGATGAATTTTGTAAGCATGTTCATATGCATGTGTATATATGCATATCATCTGTGTGTGTATTTTAATGCGTTTTTAAGATTATGTATAAATAATTGAGAACAGTGTGTATCTGTGGGTATATTGGTACTCGAGAATAAATAGAAAACAGCCTTAGGAAATTCTGAAACAACTTTTTACTAATTTCAGATTGTTGCAATGTCATATTCTAAGTCATTTTTCATTTTCAGCAACCACATGTTTTTCCGCTGTATTCTCATTTCTATATGCGTTATATATGTGTTTATACATATACATGTATATGGTATGCACATAACCATAGATATATACATATATACTTACATATAAATATACAAACATATATGAATATATATGTATATATATGTGTTTGTAGGAAATAAAAAGTTGAAAATATTTATGGAGTGGTCTTTTTATGCTTGCAATATCTTGACATAAGAAAACAGGATAACTACACTCGGATCAGGAAGCTCTGGTGGATCTGTTTTCCTTTTCAATCTTGAAGCCTTAGACTTTAACTCTGTTATTTCAATGAGACGAAGGTTGCATAGGACTGCTTCTTTAAATTGCACCGTTTGGACTGCAGATTACAATTTTAATGCCAGTCAAGCAGTGATTGGCAAGTTCTTCTTTATTTTCTGTTTTATGTAAGATTTCTGTATGTTATTTAAAGTACATGTCGCCTGAGTTTGCTAATGTTGACTAAGGTAGTTTCTCAAGTTGATACCTTGATTTTTCTACTCTTTAAGGTCCAACTAGTAGTCAACATGCAAATTTACCCAGGCTAGAGCAGTTGCTTCCTGTGTCTACTCTTAAGCTCTTGTGAAATAAAGATATGGGTTATTTTTTGAAGTTTCATGTACCTGATTTTTGGTGTTTCTCATTGTAGTTGAGTGAAGGAGTCAAAATTTGGGCCTTATGGATAGTGGATCCAATACAATTTGCCTAACTCATTATAAATTGATTAGCAGTTAATTCTATTTTGTTTCTTTTTACACATCTTTTTGCTTCCTGCCAATGTTTCTTGTTTTGAAGCTTCAACAAGCCAAAATTTACTACTAGACCTATAGTAATTCCAGAGTTAAAAAGCCCAAAGAAATTGAGTTAGCTTATTTTTACTTCAGTTTGTTAATCACATACTGTCATTGCAGCTTGATCAAATTATTTATTCAACATCAAGAAAAAGAACCAGAGATTGGTGTCCTCTTGGCTTTGATTTATGCAGTTTTTGATGCTCAGATGTTCAATTGTTTTTGTTTGTTATAGGAACCAATCTAGGGGCTGCCTTGGTGAATTTGGAGACAGGAACAGCATCATGGGTGCTTCGTAGCAAAAGTGATATTTTGTCACAACAATTTGACCAGTCAGTAAGTATTATGTAATCTGAACTTCTCTAGATACCATGAAGATACTCAATTATCTTATTTGCCTATGAATTAATGGATTAGACATAGGCTGAGTACCTATCTATGTTTTGCTCTATGAAGAAGTCGAAGTGATGCCGAGCAACAAAGTCCACAACTGTATAGGTTCAAATTTCCCAATACTTATGTTTATGGTTCTAGAAAGCAAACAGGACTGGGTGGTAGGCATGCTGCAGACTCTAAACTGGTGATGATGTATTGCAGCCGGAAATAATATGGTCAGGTATTGCTGCAGATGGATCTGAAAACTGGGAAATTTTCTTCCTTTATTTCAGAGCTGGACAGATGAATTCATCTTTCTGCAACTTGAGAGGTCATGAAACTAGTAGATCTATTATCATTGCAAAGCTTTCTTAAAGGGTGCCGACCAGAAGTCAAAACATATTTGCTTAATTAGCTGTTTGATTAATTGAATCTTGAAAAGAGCTCCCTTAATCTTTTGAAGTAATATAACGAGTTTCATTTAGTTTGCAACGTTATCTAAGAGTGACATAACATTCTAAAAAATTTTACTTGACACGTGAGGTAATAGTGCCTCAGAATATTATATCATACAAAATTCATATCTTAGGTTATCATGCGAAAAGCTAATGGTATAATTTGTTTTTAGCTTGGTATAGTTTGTTTTTAGCTAGGATATACATGTAAACCATATAGATTCAAGCCCATGCACGCGTATATTCATTTATACACATACAAACACATTTTAGGTCTTCTTAAGAGGGTTCCTTGAGAAAGGGTCCTTCTACCTTTAGAGTTTGGATTTAGGAAACTCAAAATCCTTCTACTTAGCTTTTATTCAATCAAGCATGTGAGTTCATATGAAAAGCAACTTAAACTACTAGAGTTACCTTCCTTGTGTTGGAAGAAACCAACTTCCACATCTAAAGGAAAAAAGAAACTATTTCATTAGAAACTCAAATCAACCCCCATATCTATGGAAAAACAGAAACTATTACATAAGAGATTGTCTAGAAATTATCTATAACTTAACCAAAAAAGCAGGAAGGCTAATCTCCTCAGTTTCTTTTTAGCCCATACATTCAATTCTTACTACTGGCCAACTAAATAAGGGCTTAAAACTTTCTAACACCAATTGTCCTCCTAACAATAGGTCCAGGTTTTTGGAAAACTTTTCCAAAGTGTAACAACTCACAAATCCCTGCCGCCATAGATATGAATTCTGCTTCTCTGCTTGATCTAGCCACAACATTCTGCTTGTTATTGGTTTTTTTACTCTAGACAGGTGACTCTCAACCATCCTGATAGGTTTCGGTCTTCTTTAGCCAGTAAAGCAGCAATGGTGACTACGACATTGTTATTGTTGAAGGGTTTGGTGCCAAAGTCGCTAAAGGGCCAGTCTTGTCGCCCGGTAGGGCGGTGGAAATGGTAAGCCGAAATAGAAGATTTCTAGTCATTGAGAGTAAGACCTTTAATGTGGCTTGTAAGGTGAAGAAAATGGAAGAAATAAGGGTAAGTGAGGACGGGAGGAGATTTCGAGTTTCAATCTCATTATGGGAGAATGAAGTTAATTGGTTATCGAGGGCATTATAGGAGTTCTATTGGAGCAAAAGAGGGGAAACATGAGGACTGAACAAGAAGGAAAGAAATCACAACTTGTAGGTTCGCGATGGGTAGGAACAGGAAGGAGAGATTAAGGGGAGGCAGTGAGATGTGTTTTTACACCGAAGGGAGTGCAGGCTAGCGGATTGTGGAAAATGGTGTGTTCGATCTGGCGGGGGGAAGATGTGAAGCACTGGGCAGGGTTGGGAAGGCTGAAGCAGCCGCTCGAAAACAAATGAAAAAAGATGTGGAAGGCAGAGAAATGCCGTTAGAAAATCTTTGTTGTCTGATTTGTAGTTGGCGATGCGGTTAGTTCTGGGAGTGAGGAGAAAGATGAGTTGCGTGGAATGGACAGAGGGTAATGCAAGGCAGGATTTTTTAGTGGAGCAGATGAGATCCGGATACGAAATTGGGTGGAGCAGTTTGTAAGATTCAAAAGCAGAAGGGGTAACACGCAAGTGAAGAGGGTTGTTTCACTAATAACCAAAACACATGAGAGGTGTGCCATAACATGGCGAGCCCAACTCAAAGAAAGAAGGTGCGCCGACTAGGAAATATAAATGGGCTGAAAAGGAAAAATGGATAGAAGGGGCTGAGCTGGGTAAGTGGATTACAAAAAAGGGTTTGGGCCTAAAATGGATTTGGTCACCTATGACCCAGAGATGAAACTCGCCATCTGTGACCTGTAGTGGTGGGCAAAGGGTTTCGCGTCAGGTGACGCCGAAAAGGAGGTAAAAAATGAAGCAGTTGATGGGGAGCATGAAAGAGGTGACGGGTTGACTAGTGAAGGAAGATTTAATGATTGAGAAATGGAAATTTTGAAGGAGGATGGAGGAGTAGACAATGAATATGATAGAGGAAGATAGGGTGCATGGGTAGTGTGTGTAGTGGATGAGGAGGCAACAGAAGGGTCTTATCAAAGCCTAGCAGTGGTCCTGGTGGAGAATGATGAAGTCAGGATTACCCTAATGAGAGAGAATGGCGTTGTGGTTCCTGAGATAGTAGGTATTGATGTTGTGGTGCAAAGACAAGAAAGGATGGTGGAGGAGAAGTAGGGGAGAGGATTTGGGATTTGAGTGAAGAGCAGAATTCTACATGGGTTATGTAGAACATTCAGAAGATTAACACCATGCTTGAGGTTACCTTTGACTGGTTAGAGGAACAGGCAATGGAGTTATTTAATGAAATAGAGAGAAGAATGAGGGAGAAGAAGAGAAGTGGAAATATACATATCAAAGCCAAAAATAAACAAAGAGTGGAGACCTAGAGAACTGAGAAGGTTACAATTTAATATTAACTATGACAACGAAAGGAAAGGAAGCAAGGAAATGAGGAGGGGGTTAGGAAGTGGCTTGAATTATGTTTGGCCGAGTTATTTCATAGAATGTAAAACAAATAAACAACCATAGAAGGAGACAAATTATTAGAGGGTGCATGAGCAGGGGAATCCTGATGTTATTTGCCTACAGAATGAGCAGGGGAAACCTGATGTTATTTGCCTACAGAAATCCAAGATGGAGATATGCTTAGATGGGGTTATCAGGAGTTTTTGGAAGACGAAGGAGATTGGGTGGAGAGATTTGCTTTTTGCGTGATAACCTATGGAAGGACTTATCCTTGAGACACAAGGAGGTTATGTTGAGTAAATGTTCTATTTTGTGCCTTTTTTGGAGACTGTAGAAATGGATGGAAATGGATATTCACTAAAATCTATTGCAAAAGGAAAGACAATGAGAGAGCTTTTATGTGGAAGGACTTGAAGACGTGCAAACAAAAGTGGGACTGGCTGTAGGTAGTGGGAGGAAATTTTAATATGGTTTTAAATAGACAGAAAAGGACCGGTGAGCACTTTTCAAGGATTTGTGCTAAAGGGGACTTTGGATATACTTTATTTAATGGATTTGACTCTTATTGGAGGTAAATGGATTTGGCCTAATCAAAGACTCAACGCGATGTGCTCAAGAATAGAAAAATTTCTGATGTTAGTAACGTGCCGTTTACAACCAACAACCATTTGTCAAAAGCTATTATAGAAGTCCATATCCGATCATTTTCCTATTTGCCTAGTTTGTAATGGGATTAAACGGGGTCCTGTGCTATTTAAATTTGAGAAAAAGTGGTTAAAAGTGAATGAATTCAGCGATAAGGTTAATCATTGGTGGATATAGACCACAATAAGAGGTAAGGTAAGTTACAGAGTTGCTCAAAAGATGAAGGCTGTAAAAATTGAAGTCAAAACGAGGTGCAAGGAGGAGGAAAGAAAGGAATGTATGCATTTTTAGTCTTTACTATAGGATATTGAGACAATTGAATGGAGAGACAGTGAAGGAGATGTGTCCATTGAAGACTTGGTCTGTAGGGAAGCTCTCAAGTTTGAACTAGCGAATAATATACATATAAAGGAAATTTCGTGCAAGTTGGAAAGAGGGAAGGAGTTATGTGCAAGTTGGATATGGAGAAGGCGTATGATTATATTAATTGATGGTTTGTTGATTATATGTTGGGGAGAATGGGTTTTGGAGACTAGTGGAGAAAGTGGATTAAATCTTGTATTAGTACATCTTTTGCAATCTAGGTGAATGAGAGTCCATCTTTTTTAAAAAAAAAAAAACTTCTAGAGATCTCTTACAAGGTTATCCATTATTATTTTTAGTTTTCATCGTTGTGGTGGAAGCATTGAATAAGTTGTTCTTGAGAGTTAGGGAGTTGGAGTTGTTTAGAGGTTTGAAAGTGGACAGAGATGATCCCATGGAGGTAACATCTATTTTTTGTAGACAATATTTCAATGCTCTCTGAACTGGAGAGAGGGCAATGCTCAACCTCATATACGTTTTATTGAGTTTTCAAGAGGTATCACTATGGTCAATAGATGCTATCTTTGTAAATCTGATGTGGAAACATGCAAACACCTGCTCTTTTGCTGCTCCTTCTCTCAATCTCTCTGGTCGTTGGTTTTAAACATCATGAATTTATCTTGGGTTACTGCCAGCTTTGTCAAAGATGAACTTTTTGCCTAGGAAGGCCTGTGCCGGATATAAAATTATTTCTTTGATTATCTTTTGGATTATTTGGAAAGAAAGGAACAGCAGAACTTTTGAGGGTAAAGAATTGGATTTTATTACTATTAAGGATAAATGGTTGCACCTTTTTGAGTCTGTTATTCTTGGCCATAACCTTGATAGTATTGTTGATTTTGTTTTTATTGTAAATACTCTTATTGATCTGTAAATCTTTTGTACATGAGTGGCATTCCCTTGTTGCCTTATTTTAATACATTTTCTTACTTTTATCTAAAAAAAAAATATTAACCTAACCAATTCTGAGTTGGTGAGACTGGATGATTGGAGAGAAGATATATGGTTAGCAAGAGCATTGGGATG